TGAAAAGTTCTAAAACATGTAAGTTACATATCAGTGACTAGACCTTCTTATAATTAGGGTTAGTCTGAGTTCAAAGTTACATATCGGTGACTAGACCTAACTATGAAAAGTTCTAAAACATGTAAGTTACATATCAGTGACTAGACCTTCTTATAATTAGGGTTAGTCTGAGTTCCTCTCACTCTCCCAAAATTTCTTAGCATTACCAATAATGTTTTAATATTCTTTTATTAAACGTCCCCCAGTGGGACAGCGGACTTACAATGCTAAAATCCGAGGTTCTGTTCTCTGTGGTGGACATAGCAGATAGCCCAATGTGGCTTTGCTATAAAACAAACTTTTAAAAAAATGGATTAGTAAAGGAAAATTATCAACAAATACTTAAACTGTAACCCTAATCTCCATGGCCGAATTCACAGTTACTTTGCAGACGTTAATTTAACAACTTATCATGTGAATAACATGGAATATGTAAGAATATTTCTTTAAAAAATAATAATGCATCAATATTAAGGCAAAATTTCAACAGAAACATTGAAGATTTTGAAAGGTTTATTACGTAGAAAATTAAGCGAATTTAAAAATCTACAAAGCAAGGCGTAAAAAATAAACTATTCAAATAAATAACTTGGCAAATAAAATAAACCTAAAATTAAAAAAAGACGAGAAGAAAGTAAGGCCAGCGTCAAAATACAGAAAAATATTTTAAAGTTGTAGTAATAATTTATTCCAAGTGTCTTTAAACGTATTTTTTTTAATAAAACGCTAGGCCGATGAGAAGCCGTTGTGTTACGTACTGTATACCTGAATTAGCAGTTTTTTTTCTCGTCTCTTAATAATTTAGGTTTTTTATTGTTTTTTAAAATTCATCTCAAGTTTGCTTTCTAATATCTAATTTTCTGTTTTAACCTTGTGAACCTTGCCACTTTAACTGTACTCAAAGTATTAAGTTAAATATTTGTTGTATTTCATAAACACTACACGTGTCAACTAATATTCGTCATAATATATTAACACAAATCTGCCTAAATATTAAAAACATTTCTTGATGAGGGGAAAAATGCCCTGTTTGTCAGTTCAGATTTTTTTTTACGTTGTTTCAAATATTACGATAATCCAGCGAAGTTAAACCTTCAAATGATACATTTACTCTGTACCGAATTATACATTTATAATAAACACTCGTCACGTTAATTAATACAACAGACTTGACATTTTTCGTTTACACTTACGCGTAGTACAACTATGTAAAGATAGAACTAATTAGTTCAACGTCAGTTCGAATGTGACCAGCATCTTGTTCAATCATGAATTGTAATGATCTTAATAGTTCTAGCACGTACCTACTAATACTGGGCCAATATAAGAAGAAAAAAAAAAACTTTGTTCTACAGAAATCGAACTTGCCTTTCGATCCTATTTAGATATATTTTTTTTCCGGTGGGTTAGAGTACGATACAATGTTGACTGGTACATATTTTCAGCCATCAGTTACAAGTGTTTATTTCTACAGTACGAACACACGATTGGCACTCCACGTAACAGCACCAGTGAAATTTGCATCTGCAACGCTCCCTCTCGGACCTGTTTTGACTGATGTAGCCACGACTGCAACACAACAACTCGCAGCCGTCTATAGCTCGCGACGTCTTGTTACACCGCCTGCCGTGTGTGCCGAGAGATCCCGTCTTCTCGTCGAGCTCGCAGAAATTGGGCGAAGGGCGCAGATATACGAGATCGGTGTCGGTGTGGTGTTTGAACCGTATGTTGACAGGTTCCAGTTTTGTGTACTTCCCCGACACGATCGGCTTAACTTCGGTTGCTCCGTTGAATTTCTCTTTCAAAATAATGCCCACCTCACGAAAGGCCGGCATGGCTCGCCAACACGTGCGCAGCTCACAAGACCCAGAAACTCCGTGACATTTGCACTCCAACTTCATGTTGTACTCTAAAACCTAGTGGTGAAAAATATAATTCCTTCAAACATGCACTAACAGTTGAAAAAAAAAAAGCAAGTTAAAGATAAATAAGTAAAACTTACAGGAGTTAATTTTTTTGATAGATTGTTTAGGCAGAGTATCCATGATGAAACCTTGTAGCATGGACGGCAACTGCCTGTTTTAGAGACACAAGTGTAGAGGACGGCGTTTCAAAAGTCTTCTGCCTTTCGTCTTCAGGTCCAGACTTTCGAAACGTCGTCCTCTATAACAGGCAGTTGCCGTCCATCCTACAAAGTTTATATCAGATTTGAAAAACCAAAAACTCGGAAGTAACGTTTTACAGTTTCGGGAATCAGCTGAATACTTAATTGTCGAGTCTTCTATTGATACTGTTTGTGACTTTTTTTTTTTTGAAGTATGGTTCAGTATAGATGTTTCCTTTGCTCTCGCTCTTCGTGATAGAGGTGGTTAGTTTGGTAGTTCTGTAGCTACGTATGGAGGAAACCCAATAACTTCGAAAACACGTGTTTGTTTGATGAATTTCTCTACTATCTGCGGTAGCCGCCCCTAATTTTTAAGTGATACACCAGAAGGAGGTCAGCTACTTAACACTACAAACTTTTGGGCTACCCTTTACCAACGCAGGCCCGAGTTTCCTCTCTGACCGATTATGACGTCTTTAATTTGTCGTTACTTTAAATACGTATTAGTTATTTGAACCATTTCCATAAAGCAATTGAATGTCTTGTATTTTGTACCAACGATAAAATAAAACGTACTTCAAGCTAGTCTTTATCATCACTTTATCAGACAGTTTAAGGGGAACTGTTTCGATGTTGGAGTAAGTTGTCATCCGCCCTCTATGATCAAAGATTGTTTGTTTGTTTTTAATTATGCACAAAGCTACACAAGGGCTATCTGTACTCTGCCCACCGCGGGTATCGAAACCCGGTTTCTAGCGTTGTAAGTCCGCAGACATACCGCCGTGCCATTGGGGGGCGTGATCAAAGAAGATCCCGAGACAACTTGTCGAATTACTTTAATTAAAATTACAACCCTGCTTGGTGCTTAAAGTGGTCACGATGCCATCTTTAATTAAAACTACAACCCTGCTTGGTGCTTAAAGTGGTCACGATGGCAACTTTAATTAAAACTACAACCCTGGTTGGTGCTTAAAGTGGTCACGATGGCAACTTTAATTAAAACTACAACCCAGCTTGGTGCTTAAAGTGGTCACGATGACATCTTTAATTAAAACCACAACCCAGCTTGGTGCTTAAAGTGGTCACGATGACATCTTTAATTAAAACTACAACCTCTGCTTGGTGCTTAAAGTAGTCACGATGGTAACTTTAATTAAAACCACAACCCAGCTTGGTGCTTATAGTAGTCACAATGACATCTTTAATTAAAACGACAACCCTGGTTGGTGCTTAAAGTAGTCACAATGGCAAAGTAACGAAAATTTTCACGCACAATTTCGTCTGGCTCAAAGAAATCAATTTAATTGTACAATTACTAGTTCATAACACGATCAGTCATCATTATTTTATTGTACTTCTAAACACTCTTTAAGGTATTAATAAAACACGTGACTTTTACATACACACATATGTATCAATAACTGAAGGTAGAAGAAGGACGTTAGGTTAACAATTCACTAACAAAATATTCAACAGAATACACACGCACGTACGTACGCACGAACCCCATATTTTTGTGATGTAGAAAAAAAATATATGGTTATAGCTCAGTTGCGTACGGCATATAACGTTTTCTAAATTATTCTGACGAAGCATTAATATCCTTCTTTGGCTTTAAATAGCCGCATGCCCCCGGACCCCCCGTAAGTATTAGCATGCTGTCGCACAATGTGTTGTTGGCTTTTGATCTCACAAATTAAAACCCCTTTCAAACATTCTGCGTGCGGGCCTGATGCATTACATCGAACAGGTTTATTTTTTTGTAAATTGATACGTAAAACTACGCTCATGAAATTAATTTATAGTTTTAACACCACGTAAGTAAACCTTTTATGACCATCAGATAGCGCTACAAATATACAAGTTGTTAAGCCTTCAATTTTCTCCTCAACTTTTAGGGTTAGCGAATTCGTTTAGCCTTACATCTTTTTGTACGCATATACATACTAGAATAAAAGTAACAACAACAAAGAAGAGAGTATTAATTAGGATCTTTACCACAAGTGGTCCCCTAATGGGTCAGCGTAAATTTTACGGATTTAAAACGCATAGCGTAAATAGCCTATTATGTAGCTTTATGCTTAACAACTAGACTTGTTGGATATTGATACATGGTGCTGTTTTACTCAATATGGACTTCACATGGCCATAAGAAAATGTTCTTCAATCTTCTGTGAAAAATATAAATAGTGGTGAATCTTCGAAAGTAAATTTGTTATATAAGAGAGATTAATGCGGTTAATTATAAAAGTAATTTCTCCAAAAAGTAGTACATTGAAACAATGTAGGATGGTAATAATAACTGGAGACGGCTTGAATGGGTAATGAAACAAAACTTTAATACAAGTTTAACATAACAGCAAATGTACAAC